GAGATGTGAATATGACATAATTAATAGAATAAATAAGGCAATTTTGCCCTCAATCACTTGGGTTGAAACGACGACAACTTAAAAACAAGGCTGCACTTATAGGGGGGGGGGGGGGTTGACCGCTGGTCGGGGAATTCAAATTCCTGATTCCCACCCCCTTCGGTGCACCACTGAAGTAGGTGACTCGGCGACAAGGACATTGGGGCATATAAGAGGGGGTTAGGTCAGCCTCTGGGGGAGTTAACATCCCCTAATCCCCTTCCCCCCCCCCCCCCGTCGGTGTGCCAATGATGGAGCTTCTACAGGGCTGTGTTGAAGGATCTTTTGCTTTAAGCTATAGCGAAAGCGAATTTCTCCTTACTGCACAATCATAATCATGGGATTCATGAAGCTCTGTCATTATAGTTTATACTTACGTTTTATATACACGCGAACGTTGTCCATAAACGAAAAATTCAGGAATACAGAATTGAATACTGGCCGTTCACGGAGGAGTTCTAACAGAAAGCCGCGCTATTCCTTGAAAGTGCTTAGAAAAAATATTATATGAATCTCATGTAGTGGCAAAGTCTTCCTTATCATCATCAGCATGACCACGCCCACAGCGGGACAATGGCCTCTCTCATGTTCCACCAGTCAACTTGGTGCTGTGCTTGCTGTTGCCACTTTATAGCCGCAAACTTTCTAATTTCATCTGCCCACCTAACTTTCTGTTTCCCCTTCACCCGCTTGCCTTCTCTTAAAATTCAGTCAGTTGCACCAGTGGGTACCCTGCCTACGTGCTACGGGCCCGGCCCATGTTCATTTCTTTTTCTTGATTTCAACTATGATATCCTTAACCCTGGTTTGTACCGAGACCCAATCTGCCCTCTTGTCCTGTCTTAAGATTACACCCATCATTTTCCTTTCCATCGCTCGCTGCGTCGGCAATTTAAGGTGAACTCTCTTGGTAAGCCTCCGGGTTTCTGCTCCGTAGCCTTCTTAATGCATGTAATATTGTGTTGTAGAAGCGTACTTTCGCGCCACGTGTCAAAACAATAAACTGCGCAATGAGTGGGAGTTTTAAAAGCCCACCCATTGCAAGGTATAGGACATATTTAAAGAGACTCTAAAGAGAAGAACGCTTTTTTCGCGTGTTAGTTCAGTGCAATTTCACTGTACCCTAAAACACCACTCTTACAGGAAGACGACAGTTGATAAGTCATAAACGGGCGAAAAGAAAATGTGGGTGGGGCCTCCACCTTGAGATACCGGCACAAAACACCATGATGTAGGCAAAGGCTGCGCGCTGCAAAGTTGAGGACGATCAAAGCTATAAGACAAAAGGCATTCCTGTGGGGTTGCATGTGTCGTCGCAGTGCATTGCATTGTGTCCAGATTGAATTTCGCCTTTCGGCAGTCTGATAGAGCCACTTGCGATTCTCGTGTTACGAAGAATGGCAGAATGACTACGTTTTCCAACTTCCGGCCATGCATTATGGAACACTATTCAGTAATTCTGCCGCACGTCAGTGAAGTTGCTTCAGCCAGCCTCCCGCACATCGGTGTCGTCTCGCCGTTTTGCGAAGTCCTACAAATTTGCTGTCGAGGCGTCCGCCTGAACATCGTAGGTGGCTACGAACACTTGTGATTTGAAGTGCTATCAGTGTCAAATGAAACGCAAACAGCAGCGTGCTCACTGACATACAAGTTGACAGCACTGCGCATACAATTGATATGTGGGGCATAACGTCCCAAAACCACCATATGATTATGAGAGTGGAGGGCTTCGGAAATTTCGACCACCTGGGGTTCTTCAACGTGCACCCAAATTTGAGCACATGAGCCTACAACATTTCCGCCTCCATCGGAAATGCAGCCGCCGCGGCCGGGATTCGAACCCGCGACCTGCGGGTCAGCAGCCGAGTACCTTAGCCACTAGACCACCGCGACGGGGTGACTGCACATACGCGCGCCTAGCAATGGTGGTCTCTGGATGGCTCGCACAATGCCAGTGCGAATGCTGGACGCCGTTCGGTCTTCATTAGACGCTGATAGCATGCGAGCATTATAGCACTTCGACACTGTACGACGTGAACAAAGGCAGCCGTGAGCTGTAGTGTCTGTCGAGTGACGAGTTGCATTGCAGTATTGTCTAAACACGTTCAGAACTCGATTAATCAATGAAGGGTATACATACCTGGGAATATGTAATACGTCGCTATTCATTCGTATGGATGTTGAACACTGATCCTTCCATTAATACGTTTCCTTATCCCAATCAAGTGGACTGACGAACGAGCGTACAGCACTCGATGACACTCGCTGAGCTCGGCGCTCTGCGGTGCGGCAGTGACGCACAAATATTTCAGTCCAGTCAGCGAGTGAGAACGTAGTTTTACTGACGTCCTTACGAGCTATCGTGGACGTAGTACAAAAGAGGTGAAGCAACATCATTAACAGCATAGGCAGTGCTGCTAACCTCACGACGACGGCCAACGGTTAAGAACGACACTGGCGAAGCCTTTACACAACCTGTTCTGAAGTAGCATCGTTTTGCTAGTAATTTTGCTCATTTCATTCACACAGGAGCGCAATCACTAGGCGTAACATCTTACGCATTAGTATTTGGCTCGTTTTTTTTTTTTGAATTGTCGTTAGAGCCATCAAACTACATCAAATTTGTTCATAACAGAGCTTCTCGGGGAGGCGCAGAATGTTCCATATTAAAATTCAACTAAGTAAAGCTTGCTTGGGGTTACGAATCCTTACAATTTATTGCACTGCATGAGAATAAAGTAACACAAAAATAAAACGAACGCGACGCCGTCTTAGCAATCGTGTTCTTGTTCTGTAACAGAGCGCATTGTATGCGCGCCAACGAGCTTACGGCACAAGCTCCGCATGCTACAGCTCATATTTATTAGATATCAGAAGGATTTTTGCCGATACGCATTGATAAACGCTAGGTCGTTAATCTCGCCAAACAGCTTTTTCAAAAGCTTCTTCTATTCGATCTGAACGTCAACGAAAGATTTCATCCCTATATCGATTAGACGTGTAAACATTCTTTCCTTCACTATCGGCCACTTCACGTTGAATCCAAAAGGGTACATGGCAGTGTTGCGGCATCTTGGTCACTATAAATTAAATAAAGAAGTACACGTAATCGACAGCTACCGAATTCACGGTGGAGTACAAAAAGTGAAACGCCAGGCCTGCGCGGAAGGAGCAGCACAGTCACAGCAAAAGCTAGAAGAGCGGCCTTTCAGAGCCTTTTCTTAACACTCGTTGAGTAACTGCTGCAAGCACACTTGCCTAATACCCCGCTACGGTAATAATTGGGGTAATAGGCCGGCATTCGCTATGATAATTTTCGTCATTCTGCCTAGAAGCGTGTATCCGCTAAACACCACTTGCAAGGAATTTTGTGCCAGATGTTCATGCAGTGACTGACGATGAGGAATTATGCCCGAAGTGGGTATCCATCACAGTTAATAGGTGAACAAGATCAAGCTTTTGTACTGGGTTGGAGCATTGGACGACCCACCCGTTACGCTATTCGCTTTAAGCGACGACTGCTTGTTCTTTCGCTGTTAAATGCAAAGCATTTCTTAGCGAACTTCGCCGACTTTGAGCGTATCTATCTATCTATCTATCTAGCTATTTAGCCGCTCACGTTTCGGTGCTCTTGTGGTCACCCGCTTAACTTGGCGTGAACCAAAATTATGATGGAAGGGTTAGATGGTTTGATTAATATGACGCGCTGGTGAAGACATGAATAATTTCACAATCCCGTCGCGTGCGTCTTCAAACACTTCCAGCCAGGCAGTGGCACATACTCAGGGGATTGTATGTGCCGTTGGTAAGCGGGCATGGGCCACAGGTGATTCACACTGAGTGCCCAGGAACGACGAGAATACACATGGGCAATTTTAACGCGTGAGCGTTAAGCAATACCCGACATCAGCAGCGTCGACCCAACGAAGGCATAGAATAAATGTCTGTGTTAACCTGACATAGGCAGTGTTGGCCACCCGACGAATGCAAATAATAAATTTCAGCGCCCCAGCAGGAATCGAACCCAAACATTGTGCGTGGCAGTGAAGCAATCTACCACAGAGCTACGGCAGGTCTCGGAACTACTTTTCAAATATACACTAATCTTCGTGAAATGCCAATAGTAGTTGCAGTGCTGCCCAACCAATTTTATAAACATTACATATGTACTTCTTTCGTACAGCTGTCACGTCGAGCTTACGTCATTAGTGGTGAGGAGCCATGCGCTGAAATTGATTTAAGTAGCAGTGTCAAGGGCCAGCATCTTCGAGAGCACCAGCGCTTCATATCAGCTTCTGGTGTTGCTCAAACACAATTCCAGCTGTTATCGTTGTGCAAGCGGAAAACTAGTTATATAAACATCTGCCACTCTTCAACATATGTCTTTGCATGCAACATTTGCACATATAGATATTTAGCGTCATTTCATGACGTGTCTCTCAATAAAAAAAATGCAACACGGTCACCTTCCCTCCGCGTGCTTCGCATAAAGTTGATTCTCAAGTACGTGGGATCTGCCGATTTTTTTTTTTAGTTTCGTGCGATGTGTTTACGGACACCGGCGGCTGCGGACAACTACGGCGGCGCGTGACCCGAGTTGTGTTCTCATAACAGCTTTCGCTGTAAAACATGCGCTCTGTGAGTCCGCGCATATGTGCACGGTGTCGTCCGCTACACCTAACATAACTTATATGGCGCCAGCGATTGCTACGTAGCCCACGAGATGGCGTGGCTAGTTTCGCATGGGGCTATCACTGATATCACGGGCTATCAACTGATTTCACTTATTTCATTTCGTTTTGCGTGTCTTGAATTGCGCAAGTGGAGATTATAGCGCACGGCCCGAAAGCGCGAAATTCTGATAAGCTTAACGCTTAGAGCTGACATTGCTGCGTGTTATGAAGAAATAAGTGACGAGGAAGAGACAGCACGTGCAAGAAGGCTATCGAAGGCGAGGAGGATGGCACTCCGTCGTGTTTGAAGTCGGAGCAGTTTAGGGGCGTTTAAGTCTTCTCACTGAGCAGCATAACAGGTTTTGTACTGCGACGCCTTGCCTACTGTCTTCCGAGCACGCCATGGGCGACAGAATAGGCTTTGGAACGGGACAACTGGACTTCGAAGAACTCAACCGAAGTTCTTCAGGAGTGAACACGAGTGGTCCTTGCAGCGCTACAGGCATTGCTGGCGATTGATGGTGGCAGCATTTTTACGCCCACCTGCGACATATTCGATCAATTGCCCCGCTGGAACTACCTCCTATGGCACGTCGGCTTGCAGTTGCGAGAGCTCCAACGTCCCGGAAGGCTGTCCCTGGTACGGGTCCTCTACAAGGGTGCTGGAGGCCGCATGCTGCAAGCGCGCAGCCGTCACGCCCGCTTTCTCGTCTACGTTCTGCTGGTGCATCACCGATGCGTCGAGAGTCTACATCTGGACGACACTCTCTTCGAAGGCAGTGGGCTTGGCGAGTACCGCGAACGCATCGTCTCGCCGCTGCGGAAAAATGCTAGCTTACGGACGTTGATTCTCGATGGCATCTTCTGCGAGTACAAGTGAGTGTGATTTCATTTAAAGCTCTGTAGAATTCAACGTGCTGTCGCGTGGACAGGTCACAGCTTCTATGTTACGGCACGTGTACCACTCCGCTGTCTGTGTGTAATTTTTGTTGCTGAACAGAATGCCGCGGGATCGAATCCCGGGCGCAGCGGCCAGATTTTCTATATATAGAAGCGTGATGCAAGATGCCCGTTAAAGAATGGCAAGTTGACGGTAGAAATAATGTGCTCTTTCACTACGACATTCCTCATAACAGTATCCCGTGGTTTTTAGACGCAATAGCCCAATAGTTATTCGTCACCAGCAGCGGCCCCGCCGTGGTGGTCTAGTGGCTAAGGTACTCGGCTGCTGACCCGCAGGGCGCGGGTTCGAATCCCGGCTGCGGCGGCTGCATTTCCGATGGAGGCGGAAATGTTGTAGGCTCGTGTGCTCAGATTTGGGTGCACGTTAAAGAACCCCAGGTGGTCTAAATTTCCGGAGCCCTCCACTACGGCGTCTCTCATAATCATATAGTGGTTTTGGGACGTTAAACCCCACATATCAATCAATTCGTCACCAGCTGTACGCATACAGTTATATCGGCACCGACGTCAAATGAAACGCGAAGAGTGAAGCACATAGCCCAAGCATTAGCAAAGCTATTCTGTGGACCATCCAGCCATCAACATACTGACGGGCATGCGCATCCGATTTGACAGCACTGCAATTCCTCTACAGTGCACTCATTTGCGTGTTCTTGTTTTGATAGGCTCATACAGTTATGCTTGCCGGCGAAGGCTTTCCGCGCGAATTTCGTCGCTTGATTTTTTTGCTGTCCCTTTATCTTTTTTATTTGTTTAGAATATCGTAACTAGAACAGATGCTGCGGTGTCAGGCTGTAGGAGGACGGTGCGATGCACCGGTCAGTGGTGATGACTAAACTTCCCTCACTGCGTCTTTGATAACGTTTGCTCCACGCCCTCCGCTGGTCACGTTTCATATGACTCCTACAGAGCGTACCATAGGTCAGCGAAACTTGCGGAGCTCACTCACTTATTCATTAAATACGTCTTGTACTTTGGACTCACTCATACTCACGAAAATTTTCAACCACATTTACTCGCACTCAAACCCACCAGAACAATCCTCACCCGGACCCTCTGACTCATGGCTTGATCTTAGTCTGAAACAGTGCAGTGAGTCAACACATCAGTTAGCTTAGAAACAGTTTTTCCGACTACGTCTGTGTTGCATCGTTCATAATGAAAGTCACAGCATAAGCGGAGACATCTGGTTTATTCCATATTCTTCCTTCCTGTGGCGGCCGCTGAGAGCGTGCCATCGTACAGCGCTGTAGTCGGTAGCGACGCCTTATATCACATATCCCCTCTTGCGAAAATTAAAAAAAAACACACGCAAGGACTGTTTTTGTTTACTTCATTATGAAGTGCTTTTATTTCTTCAAAGTCTTCTTTTTACGTTTGCTTCTTACAAGCGCATTAAATCCTTCGAGTCTGGTTGAAGCTTGCGTGCCCTCTGGTGCAGATGATCCAGGATTTGCACTTTCTTGGCCATCCTCTCTTGATGTGTAAGGTTGTGGCGCAGTAGATGACTTATTAGATGCAGGTGACCAGTTCATGTCAGCAGAGTTTTCAGGTTGTGGTGTACTAGACGACGGATTATATGAAGGTGACCATTTTAAAATGGCAGAGAATGTCTGATATTATTTCGTTGACTGCTGCGGGGTGAACTGCGGCTAACTTGTATGTGTTCCACACACGCCCATCGTCAAAGAGGTACGAAGCCGGTCCACGTTCTCCAATGATCTTCTTGGGTGCGGAGAATTGTGGATACAGCTTGCTGTGAACTGCAGGTGCATGTAATTACCAACGACGAAACTGGGTTCCTTAGCTCCACGTTTTTCATCGATGTAGCTCGTCGAGATCCTTTGCGTGTTTTTTACGTGCTCTCGCAACAGCTCAATAGCCCTTGACGGGTCCGTGCTGAAGCCTCTGTCAGGCAAACCCTCTATTTCACGTCTGGCGCGAGGTTAGCATTGTTGGAAAACTGCGTGTGCTACACCAATAGTCGCGTGAGGTGTGCAGCGACATACTTGCAGGTAATCAAGCATGGCTGTTCGTATATCACGACGTGCATGCAGAGCTAGTTTAATATGACTTCAGCACGCTATTGAATCTTCCTATACCAAGCCGTTAGCTTGTGGGTAATACACAGATGAGTTGTAGTGCGTTATTCCGCGCTCTGGGAGACATTCATCAAATATTGCTGAAGAAAACTGTGGTCCATGATCGGATGCAATACCACGTGGGTATCCTTCTCGCGCAAAAAGTTGTAAAAACTTCTCCACTGTAGACGCGGTCGCATTTCACATTTGCTATAATAGTCAATAACAGTAATTGCAAAACGGTAGTTGGCCGAAGCTTGCGTTCAAGGTCCCACAATGTCCGTAGCAAGTTTTTCCCACGCCGCGTCAGAAAGAGGAACAGGTTGCAGTGGCGTTGCAAAAAAAAAAAAAACGTGCGGACTTGTCACAAAACTAGCATATCACGCATGTGCGCCCCAGTTCTTCAATGTGGCTATCCATGCACGACCACCAATAAGACTCTCTCAGGCGAGCTTTGGTATGAGTAATGCCTGGATGTGACTCGTGGGCCAGATCCGTAAGACAGCGTGTCAAAGTCGCCAGCGCGACAATCCTGTTGTCTTTTCGGAACCCCGCAATTTGGCCTGACAGAATGCGGGTCAGTCTTGTTGACAAAAAGCCCAGATGCCAGATGAAGCACACCAGGCCTTGTTTGAAACGCACGACGGGTGTCGTATATGAAATATTGCCCTCAAGTGGGAAGACCTATGTGGGCCAAGCTGCACGCTGTGTCAACGATCGAGCTTAGGAGCATGAATCATCTTTAATGAATAAAGGAAACGCGCACAGACCTGTGCTATGTATAATCTGAAGATGAGCCTCGGCTTCGTGAGATAAAGATAATAGGCAGAAGCAATGACACATGCATTAGCGCGAGAGTTACTGGAGGCGTTTCACATTAGGATATACATGGGTTGCATTATATAATGACACGTCTGTTTCAGTTTACCAAAATGAGCAGCAGCTTCTTGACACGAGAGTTACTAGTGTTCGTCGATTTTGATGGACACATGCGCAGAGAGGTGTACCCTGGTTCTTTTTTTTCTGATCCGTGCTTTCCAAGTTTGCGCTACTATGTATCTCATTTTGGAGCAAGACAGACGAATCGATTTGAGAGCGCAGTGAGCCTTCACGTCTACGTGAACCTTGGCACAACTGCCACACCGACATGCTGCACCGTCGTGGGGCCGCTGGTCCGGCGCTTATAATTTCTTGGGCACCTTGCTGTACAGCTCAGGAAATAGACCTAGCGCTACCTAGCATATCATAGAACCACCTACTGCATGGTGTCGTTGCGGCGTATTCCTTTAAATGTCCTCATAAACAACACTGGATGAATTCGTGCATTATTCATTTTGGACGCGTGGCTTGTCAGTACTTCATTTGTCGCCGCTAAGCCTTTAGTTTCATGCCAAACGTTACGGCAAGACGGATAACGGAGGAATCTAAAATACTGGAACCGATGGGAGATAATTGTTTGCGTTACATATAATGTCGACTTAAGCTAATGCTCTATGAAACCTTGGCTTGTGCTTTTCATTGCAGCAACTTGTAATGAAACTTGTCTTAAAAAAAGGGCCTTATATATTTGAAACTTTACAGTCGCATCTCTTCATTAACCGGTGATCCCTCCTACGTTGCCCTGATGCAATGGGTTATCTCTTGTCTAGCTGCTGCTGTCCCGTGGCACTCAACGTTTTGTAATCCCCTTTGGTGGCACCACAGTTGACATATGCTCAATAAAACCTATACCTCGCGGCAGCCGGGTGGGGTCATCACCCAGTTTTTTTAACCTGTACGCGCGAGCTTTGACCGCAGAGTCGGTAAGCATCGCGATATGATGAACCAAAGCGGCGGAGTGAGCGTGAATATGCACAGGCGCCCTGTGAGCAGGCCGGTGCCGCTTTCGTTTGCCAGGCCGTTATTCCAAACGGATCTAATCTCACCTGCTATTTTGTTTTTGCGTTCTTGTCTTGTTTTCGGCTTCCAGTAGCGAACATTTTTTCGCCACAGGAAAGTGATGCATGAACTGCAGGATAAAGACTGCTGGCGTACAGTGTCGAATTTTATGAAAAGTAACACGGAGTGCGCGTGGCCTGCGCACTTCGGCGGCTGCTGGCAGCGAGTGCGTCAGCGGGAGCGAGAACAACCACAGTCTTTCTTCGCATCATCTCACGGTGAGCAAAACAACTATTCGTTCCTCATATAGAACCCGCGGCAGGATTGCGTCCCCCTCCCTCTTCAAGGCGATGATGCCTTGAAGAGGGAGGGGGACGCAATCCTGCCGAGATGATGCCTTGAAGAGGGAGGTAATCGCCTTGAAGGGGGAGAGGTTGCAAGCTTGTCATTCCATATCAGCAACGAATGGTTGTTTTGCTCGCCGCGAGATGACGGGAAGAGAGACAGTGGTTGCTCTCGCTCCCGTTTGAACGCGCTGCCAGCAGCCCCCGGAGCGCGCAGGCCACGCGTCTCCGTGTTTCCCAGGACAGCATTCAGAAAAAAAAAAGGAAGAGAATTTCGCAGCCATTTAAAAGCGAGGCGGTGTCCGGTTAACAGAAGCACACTAACAGAAGAGAGCCGCACAGGACTGTTCATCGCGCGCATATTCTCGTTCACTTCGCCATTGTGCATCTTGCGTTTATCTACTCGGTGGTCCATGCTTACGCGTTAAGGTTAAGAAACAATTTATGGCTCTTTTTAGTCTAACCACCTGTCGTAAAATTATAATGAAATGACGCATCAGGCTACGGTGTACTTTAATGCCAAAAGCGACCGACGTCTCCGTGCTCAGCGTGCAGTTGCACTGCACGCTGACCAACTTATTTATCAAGTCTCAGAAAACGGCAGGGCAAAAGAGGTAGGAGGCTGTTGGATATCTAGTAGCCATGGGACTGTACGTCCATGCACACATTTTTCTATATTGTCTGTTTCAAGGCAGCGGAATATTTCGCGGTTTTCTTGTGAAGAATTAGTTGTGCAGACTGTTTTTACTCTCAGGTAAATTGTCTCAAACGCATTTTGCCCACGTTTCTTTGCACAGGAGCATTCGAGAGGAACTGTTCGGAGCCATAGCCACACTGAAGAACCTGTGCGAGCTGACCATCCTAGGCAGCGCCGCGGCGCCGTCGGCCGTTTTAGACGCAGTCTGTGCGCTTCTCGCGCACACCACGTCCCTCGTGACTCTGAAGATACCGAGCCTCGCTTACGACGAAGCAGGCGCTACTCGGCTAGTCGCTGCGCTCCGGGGCAACAAAACCGTCCAGAATGTGTCTCTGCACGGCAGCATCTTGCATTCGTATGCGCAGAATGGGGTTTCCTCGTTCGCCCACTTCTTGGCCAACAGTGCGCAACTAACTTCGCTCAGTTTGGAAGGTGTGCAGACGGATCCCGAAAGTACGTTCCAAGACGTGAAGTGGATCGTCGCGCCGTTCCATATTCGCGAAAACCTTCAGAGTCTGTGTCTGACAGGCTTCCTGTTAAACGCTCAATGCGCGTGTCTCTTCGCTGCCCTCGTCTCTGCGAAGAAGGGCTGTCTGAAGAGACTGGACTTAGGCGGCTGCCAGTGGATACCCAAGTCGCGGCGAGAACGGCCTGGTGACGGCGGAGCTACTGACGTCCAAGGTTCGGGTCTATCTGTGATCGCTCACCAACGTTGCCATTGGATTGAGTCGTTCGATAAGAGTGCGCGAGTACACCTCTCGTTTTTGGCTCTGGCCGTCCAGGGCCTCGAACCAGAACAGCTGCGGCCTCTATTCGACACCGCCTGTTACCGTGAAATCGCTCAAAACCATGTCGCTGAGTGGTGTTCCGCTAGGCAAACTGAAGGCACTTTGCAGAGTCATCCGGGAAGCTGGAATGACCGGCATAGTTCACATAGAAGATTCCTACATCGTCGACTCAACTGTGCTGGCTGATCTCCAGGAGTTTCCGGAAGCGTTGTCTAAGGTGGCGATCAGATCTTCTACCGAGCGGACTCCAACGGCGTTTGAAATGGCGGTCCGCCTTGCGTGCTCCTGCTATCTAATCACCGAGCTCAACCTGCGCTTGGCGCAGAGAATTCTTGCGGACGTCCCAACGTTTCGCACCCTGTGCAACTACTTGAGCACCGCTAATTCGCTGAGGTCGCTCTCACTGACAGGTTGTGGCAACCCAGATCTAGGCCGCACTCTTCGGTCGGCAGGTCACTCTTACAGCCTGCTCCTCCAGATGATCTTCAAGAACACGACTGTCCGTGCTTTGCGGCTGAACAGGTTCCATCTGGGTGAGGACAACTTGCGTTTCTTCGTGGCTGGAGTGGTTGCCAGCAAGAGTTTGTGCGAGCTCGCCTTCGCATCATGGGACCCGGCCGAAAATGTCACGTTTCTTCGGATGCTTGCTTCGAAGTTCCGCGCAAACAAGACCATTAGTTTACTTCGTCTTATGGCACCTGCGGACGGTGTAAAAAATGAGTGGTTCGCCATCGAAAACGTCATCGGCCGCAACATAGGACTCCTGACTTGCGCGGCGCACTATGTCATGGGAAATGACTACTCGCCGCGTTGCGACGCCGCTCTCGAAGATGTTTCCGGCACTAACGCACTCATGAAGAGAGTCGACGAACTAATGAAGGACGAACCAATGATAGACGAAGAAATGAACTGCAACTAAGCACTTCTGGAGTCTCGATCTGTTCGTGAGACCTTTCGGGGTGGAGTCACAATTTTAGAAAGCTTAGTTAGGACGAAGAGGACAGTGATGTTCTCCGATACATTTCATAGACACATATTGTTATCAGTTCCCACTTTGCTGTGTGGTCAATCTGTCTACGGACAATGTTATTGACAATGTTTTTAGCTGTCTGTTGTGTGCACTGTTCTAGTGATTGAGAGAAGTAGCAATGACGTGCGGAGATTTGGGGATTGTAAAGCGGTTTTGTTGCGAATCTTGCCACGAATTTTTCGCTAGTATGCAATTTTATTTGCGTAGACATCTGATTTTATTAAAACTTCTGTTCATGTACATTACCATTACGGCTTCACATTGTTCTTGGACGTGAAAGAACATTTTATATTTGACGAGGTCTCGGATCTTCATAAAATCTTCGAAATAAATTACGTGCTCCAGTTGACTTGCCTCTGAGACATCGTTTTTGGTCTGTCCGGTAGCCCCACCATGGTGGTCTACCGGCTAAGGCACTTGGCTGCTGACCAGCAGGTGACGGGATCGAATCCCAGCTTCGGCGACTGCGTTTTCTATGATCACGAAAATGCTGTAGGCTGGTGTGCTCAGTATTGGGGTGCACGTTAAATAGCCTCAGGTGGTCGAAACTTCTAGAGCCCCTCCACTGCGGCGTCTCTCATAATCATATGGTGGTTTTGGGACGATGTACTCTAGATATTATTAGTCTGTCTTGTAATTTCAGCATCGCAAAGGCGTAGTGTATTATCAGATAGCGTGTAACATCGCTGCCGTGATGTCACGTGGTTCCAGCAATGGAGAATAAAAAAAATGAACGCGCAATGGTCCTTCGAGGTTCTGATAGCGCCCTAGCTTACTTAGCCTACAGCATCGATTATTTGAATACGGCTATTTAAAATGGTGCTGAATATACATGAATACTATCGAAGTTTAGGGACCCCCGCCGTGGTGGTCTAGCGGCTACGGTACTCGGCTACTGACTCGCAGGTCGCGGGATCGAATGCCGGCTGTGGCTGTTGCATTTCCGATGGAAGCGGAAATGTTGTAGGCCCACGCGCTTATATTTGGGTGCACGTTAAAGAACCCCAGGTGGTCGAAATTTCCGAAGCCCTCCACTACGGTGTCTTTCATAATCATATGGTGGTTTTGGGACGTAAAACTCCACATATCAATCAAGTTTAGGGAGATTATTCTGAAGCAAATGAAATCATTTCCGAGCTAATCGAGGTACAAAGCGCACGACAGCCACTTTGTATATAGATTCGAGCTGGACGGTAATCGCTAGGCGGCGCGGCGATGTTTTTCGGGAGGGCGCATGCGCAGTTCACACCCGCTATGGTGCTACAAACAAGAATCCTGTTTAAAAAAAACCTGACAGGCTTAAACATCGTAGTTTCTCCTTAGTGAAAGCTAGATGACCTGTAGAATAAAGAGGGCACGGCACGCATTCCACGAACAACATGCCTAAGACTTTGCTTGCACCTATGCAGGTTATGCTGTGTCTTTCTGCCTTCACATTGCCGTACCGCGTCGGAACTGCTATCGTTCTACCGGACGGACAGCGAGACGAGACTGGGATTTATTTACCGGCGAATACGCAGTCACGGCGCATTACGTCATCGGCGGCGGATCTACTAAAGGACAAGCGCGACCGCGGATTCTTCAGAGGGCATGGCACGCATTCGACGAACAACATGCCTAAGACTTTGCTTGCACCTATGCAGTGTGGTTACTTTACGAATGTTGTTTGTTATAGAAGGGACGATCGATTTTTGTTGCTAGTGCCGTGCCCTGGCAGATGTTTCAGTATTCTTTGTCATTGCTGTACAACGATTTCAATCCTGCAGTCGGGCGATGTGGAGGAAAACCCTAGGAACACTAATACTCAGATGCTACAAGCAATTCTAGACAATCAAAGGGCCTCGGACCGTAAAATAGACGCACTAAAGGAAGAAATCAGTGTATTGAATGCTAAAACTGAAAAATTAAGTGGCTATCTTACGGTAATACAGGAAATGAATAAACAAATTGAGATCCTAGAGCATATCGTGCAGGAACAAGCTGATAAACTTGCAGATTATGAAAACCGCAGTTGACTCAGTAATCTTCCGGTTTTTGGTGTTCCCGAAAGCAAGGGAGCTTCAGCTGTTGATTTGAAGAGAGTCGTGGTCGATGCGATCTTTAAAGAAACCCTTGGTATATAAATTCAAATGATTGAAAGAATCCATCGACTTGGTAAGGAAAAACCTGGGAAAGATAGGCCCATAATCATGAAGTTTTATGTTAAGCGTGAGAAAGAAAGTGTTATAAAAAACTGCAAGAAACTTAGGGGGACCAAGATAACCATAAGCAACGACTACGCCCGAGACACGGTTGAAATAACTGAAACGTGGCTACACAGTTGTGTCCCTGATAACTGCATTGTGCCAGAAGGCTACAAAATCTTTAGATCTGATAGAGACTCGCGAGGGGGCGGGGTCGCTATCATAGTAAAAAACTGTTGTGGCCGCGCATGTTCGAAGCAATGTACCAGAAACGGTGTGGTGTAAAAGAAGGATTTTTAACACAGTATAGTTTTTTGGTGTCGTGTATAGACCACCCGCAACAGCAACAGTCTATCTTGATAAACTGAATAACTTCCTTTGTGCCCATGGAAATGGGAACACCACGCTAATTCTTACTGGAGACTAATCTGCCTCACATTGACTGGGACGTTTTTTTGCCCGGACACGTCGAGATGGGTTGCGGCAAAAAGATGTTGGAAATTATGTTCGCTCACAACTTAACCCAAATAGTGCGCGATTATACACGGATGACATCTTCGTCTCAGTCAGTGTTAGACCTGGTGTCCCTTTCAAAGAAATTGTGCAATCATAATATCTGTGTTGATGAGGGAATTTCTGATCATAGATTGGTCTCTGTTACTATTCCACTGAGTGTTTCACGAGCTAGAACCTATAAGACCGTGCAAGTAAAAGATTACACAAACGCAGATTATACTTCAATTCTTGACATGCTGGGGGATTCATTTGGTCATTTTGAGCACGCATCCGAGCGCCAAACAGATGATGAATTGTGGCAACGTTTTAAAGATATAATAAATATTGCATAGACAAATTCGTTCCTAGTAGAGTAAAACAGACTAACAAGCGCAATCCGAGGATAACAGGAGATAATATTCACAAAAACGGAAAGTTAAAAAGGCTGCGGAGGAAAAGAAACCATGGCTCTGAAGATATAGCACGTGTACGAAAAGAATTGAAGAAATGCTTGATGGAATCTAAGCGCGCTTTTTTGGTCAAAAGTTGAGTTCTTTTGTTAAACATTCACCTCACAAGTTCTGGCTTTATATGTCCGATCGGCGCGATAAAATTGACCAGCTGAAACGTGGAAATGAAATCGTGACGAACAATGTTGATATTGCAGATAGTCTTAACATTTTTTTTACTCAGTTTTTACAAGGCGCAGATGCGACACTGAAACAGAGGATGGAATATGCCACTTATCTGAGCCGATGGGTGAGATTACTATCAGTCGAGATTGAGTTATAGTCTATTGTCTCTTGATTCCAAAAAAGCATGTGGGCCGGATAAAACACCCAACCCTTTTTTGCAGCGTTATGTGGAGTGGATATCTTACTACTTAGAAGTTATTTTTCAAAATTCTATTTGTACTAGTTCAGTGCCATCGGACTGGCGCACAGCTGTACTTGTCCCTGTGTTTAAGAGGGGTAATCGGTTGTCCACCAATAATTACCGTCCCGTATCGCTCACATCTATCTGCTGCAAAATATTGGAACATGTCTTTTTCAAGCATGTCATCACATTCCTAGAATATAAAAATTACTTTTAGCCTTATCAGCATGGCTTTAAGAGTAAAGTTTCGAATACAACACAGCTTATCGAAACTATTCATGACTTTGCGACAGCTTTAGATATCAATGAACAAATTGATGTCATCTGCATAGATTTCGCTAAGGCCTTCGATAAGGTACCTCACGACAGATTACTGTATAAGCTTCACTGTGCTGGACTAAGTCAACTTTTACTTAGTTAGTTTAAAGCCTACCTATATGACAGGAAGCAATTCGTGAAAATTGATAACTCTATGTCTAGCTCACTGGAAGTGTTTTCTGGGGTTCCACAAAGCTCGGTTCTTGGGCCCTTATGGTTTCTGATATATGTCAATGATATCGCAGATATAGCAAAATACCACTTTAAACTCAAGCTGTTTGCTGATGATTTTTTAATTTACGCACGAGAGACTGGTAGGAAGGACCAATTGAACATTGCCGAGTGTCTACAAGAATTACACTCATGGTGTGAAGCTTCGGGAATGGAAATCAATTATTCGAAATCTACCATCACCCACATTTCTAGGAAAAAAACAATAATTCCATTTGAATACTGTATCGGGAATCACACCTTGTTGACAGTTATTGCGTTTAAGTACCTAGGTCTTACAATAACGCATAACCTAAAGTGGCACACATATATTCATCATGTTTGCTCTAGGGCCTCACAAAAATTGTACATATTAAGAAAAAAAACTGCAGGGTGCTAGTATGGACGTAAAACTTCTTGCTTTTAAAACTTTCATACGGCCGATACTGGAATATGCCAGTATTGTCTGGAGTCCCCGCCAAAAAGTGCTTGTAAATGAACTTGAACGCATACAACGGCTTGCAGCTCGCTCCATATGCTCGAGATATGAACAGAATGACTCAGTCACAGAAATGCTACAACTATGTGATCTGGAGATGCTCCGCAAGCGCAGACGCAAAAATAGATTAAAGTTTCTTTTTAATTAATAGAAGGTGAGTTTAAAATTAACAGAAATGACTACATAGAACAACCTGGGAAACGAAGCGTGAGGGCAAACCATACACGAGTACTGCACCCTTATTTTGCACGAACGAAGGCGTACCGTCATACTTTCTTCCCCGATGTCATTGAAGATTGGAATGGGTTACCGAGTAACATAGTGAATGTGAGGGATGTTAATAAATTTGTGCATTTACTTGATTTACATTTATGTGATTTATTGTAAATATTATTGAGATTGTTATTCGTTGCCTTGTGAAACAGGGTGTGTGTTTTTCGTTTTTCGTTTGGAATGCAGAGCTTTCATGGATTCGTGTATATGTATATCTGGTTTATCATTGGGAGATGTATAGTTATATCCCCAATTTGTTTGTACAGTGTGTCGTACCTTTTCTGTAATGACCCTCAATAGAGGGTTGAAAGTATCTCTAAATAAATAAATAAAATAAAAGAACAGCAATGAAACTTAACATGGGATAAGTGAATTCATAAATAATAGTCCTTCTGTTCTGTGGAACGCGCTGTTTTACGTTTTTTTTTTACTAACGTGCATCAAATAGCCCAAACGTAATGCACTGTGGTGTCTAAGATTAGCCGGCACGCATCT